GGGGACTACTGTATTATTGGTTTACTATAAAGGATTCAACTGAGGATCAGACAAAAGGTAGAGATGCATAGGGCAATGTAGGATGGTGGTGTTAGTGGAAGCAGAGCTTCCACATCCTCCCAGCACCTAGATATGTTCACCAACCCAGAAATCCTCTAAATCCTGTCTTTAAGGATTTTGATGGAAGTTTCATTACATTGGCACACTGTATTAAAGCATTGGCCATTGGTAATTAACTGAATCTCTAACCTCTATCTTCTCCTAGATGCTGAGTGCTGGGGCTGAAAGGTCCAAGCCTCTAATCAAGATTTGATATTTCTGGTGCCCATCCCTGTGCTGAAGCTATCTAAGAGCTGGCCAAGAAGTTCTGCTGTTTTTGTGAAGACTTCATCAGCTATTGCTTCAAGTTTATTCCTGCACTGTCTTCTCAATGGGTTCAGCTAATTCTTTCGAGTGTGCTCTTGCTGTATTCACTTTCTATTTTTTCTTCATAACAAATCAGAAGCCTCTCATGGTCCAACTATTGAAACTTGTATTTAGCTGGTTACTACAAACATGGAAAATTAGTGATGGTTATTGCTCACTGGTCAGAATGTTTCATTCCACCAGAGCTACAATCTTGAAGAACAGAACAAAGTGACAGAAGCTTTTAAAGGATCTGCTTCATTGAAGGCAATGAGTAACAAAACTTGAGAAGGGCCATATCAGACATGGAGAAACTTCTAATGATCTGGATCGAAGATCAGACACTAAAGCATTATCCCTCTGGGCATCATGACGATCATGGCCAGAGTACAGTTTTTTTGCGATGTTGAAAGAAAAAGCTGGACTAGACTACAATTTTGAATTTACTGTGATCTCTGGATGGTTTAAATGACTCAAGAATTATCATTCATTGCATAATGCGAAAGTGCATAATGTGAGTGGTGAGTTTGTGAGTGCTAATGTGAAGAAAGCTAAAGAATTTTTGGAAACTAGATAAGCTAATTGTAGAGGAAAACTACTTGCCAGAGTGAATATTCAACATAGAGTAAACCTCCTTATTCTGGAAATGAACACCGTCCATAAGGAGGCAATGTCAAGGCCAGGTTTCAAGGCTTTTAAGGACAGAGTAAGTCTAGCTTGGAGGAAATGTTGCAGGCTACAAATTGAAACCCTTTGTGATCTGGCAGTGAGAATCCCAGGGCCTTCGAGCACATCAGTAAGCACTCATTGCCAGTGTATGTCAGTCAAGGATGACTCAGCTCTTCAAAGATGCCCTTCTGTATTATTATGGAAGCAAAATGGAGAAGTACCGTTTAGAGAATAACCTACATTTCAAGAGTTTGCTTATTATTGTAGATGTTCCTGGATATCCTTTTTTTACTGGTAATCTTCATCCCAATATCAAAGTGGTGTTTCTCCCTCCAAACACCACCTCTTTGATTCAATCAGTGAATTAAGGAGTTAGAACAGCTTTTAAGTCCTATTACCTGAAGACATTTGCCCAGGCTATTGCCACAACTGAAGAAGACACTGAGAAGAGACTGATGCAATTCTAAAAAGATTAAATCTATGACTACATCAAGAACCTTGCTTGGGCTTGGAGATGTTGTTACCAAGCAGTACATGAATGGCATCTGGAAGAAAACACTCAAGAGAACATGACTTCAAAGGATTTGCCAAGACTGAGAAGGTTGTAAAAAATGAAGGTTGTGGTTGAGATGGCAAACAACTTTAACCAGAGTGTGGATGAAGATGACACTGAGGTACTCCCACAGGTGGCTCCTGAGGAATTGACTATGAGAAGATGTTGTAATTAGAACAGAAACGCATAGCTGAAGAGGCAAGAGAAAAGAAAACTACAGAAGACAAAGAATCCCACAAAAAAAAATCACAGTGAAGGGTTTAGCAGAAGCTTTTGCAGACCTCAATAGGATCCTTAAAGTCTAAACACATGAATCCCAATGATTTTCATTAATAGACATGTTTATGGTACATTATCTGCTTACAAACAAATCTGATTTAAAAAAAAAAAAACAACTCGGCAAATCACCAGACATGTTTCTGAAAAGAGTGACACCTCCTCAGGAAGAGCCTCTGACAGGTACTTCAGGAGAGATTCCAGAAGAAGGCAGTTATCATAGGAGATGGCAGCTCCATGGGTGTCATTGCCCCTGAAGACCTTCCAGTAGAACAAGCTGTAGAGATGGAAGACAGTGGTATTGATGATGCTGACTCTGTGTGTATACCTAGGCTAATGTGAGTGTTCACTTTGACAAACTAGAAAACAGCTTATAGAGGAAGGATATAAAGAAAGTATTTTTGTACAGCTGTACGATGTGTGTTTTAAGCCAAGTATTATTACAAGAGCAAAATATTAAAAAGTTTACAAAATAAAAAGTCACAAGTAAGCTAATTTATTATTGGAGAAAAAAATTTAAATAAATATAGCATAGCCTAAGTGTACAATGTTTATAAAGTCTGCAGTAGTGTACAGACACGTCCTAGGCCTTCACATTCACTCATCACTCACTCACTGACTCATCCACAGCACTTTCCAGTACTGCAAGCTCCATTATGGTAAGTGCCCTATAAGGTGTACCATTTTTTATCTTTTATACCATGTTTTTACTGTACATTTTCTATGTTTAGATCTGTTTAGATCTGCTTAGATACACAAATATTTACCACTGTGTTACTACTGCCTACAGTAATCAGTACAGTAGTAACATGCCATACACATTTGCAGCCTAGTAGCAATAGGCTATATCATACAGCCTAGGTGTGTAGTGAGCTAGATCACCTAGGTTTGTGGAACCACTCTATGATGTTCACACAATGACAAAATCATTTATGATGCATTTCTCAGAATGTATACTCATTGTTAAGCGGCGTGTATCTGTAATTGTTAGCATTTGAATTTTAAAAATTAAAAAAATATTTTGATGAAAAAACAACAAAAGCATTCTCTTGACAAAAAAATGCACAAGTTTTAATCACATATCATCAAACATAACTGAAAACATACTGAAGAAATGCATTCAGTGTCAACTAACAGGAAACACCCACAGTCTTCCTGACGTGTGGAAGGTTTTCTCACATGGAAGGACTGGGTCAAGACAATGTAGTAGAGAAACCCCCATGTTATTCTTTTTGACGGCACCACTGTAGACGTCACAGTGAATCAGGAGGGTGGACTCACTAGCACTATTAACAACATAAAGTATTTCCTGTACAAATTAGACCTTACACAAATATAACCTAAAGAAAGGAATCAGACAATGCTCCTAAGAAGAAAAGACTGATTTAGTTTTCTGGTAAACCCAAGAGGGCTACAAAAAACTCCATGCTGATGAGCCCTTGATGTGAATCTTGTGAAGACACTGGTGGAAATCTACACCTCTCAGAAATTAGTATCAAACTGTAATCACATGCAAGTGAGGCTATCAATGAATTCTAACATGGACCCTGAAGGGCACGGATCCTGGAAAATCTAGATCCTAACATTACCCCCAGGGGAATATCTCCAGCTCTAGATTTTGTTGCCCTGTCACAGGGCTCTTCCTAAAGTCTATGCAGCAACTAACAGTCAGCAAAGAAAAAGCAAAGGCCTAAATATAAAAATAGTAATTCACATAACACTATATTCTTTCATAAACTTGCCATACAAAAAAACTATTACAACTGTTTATACATATGGAAAATGGACAAAGGCTCTTATACCTGTTATTTAAAAAAGGAGCTTTGTCATAAGAAAGATTGAATATATATAATAAACTACAGATCTGTCACAAGGCCAGTAGGAAAATCCCAACACAAACCACCGTGTCAAATTTCAAGAGCCCCTTAACACAAAACAAATAAGACATTATAAAAAAAAAATTCAACCTAACTGAATTTTAGAAATGTACTTCAATTCACCTATGGATCCAATGGGCTTCAAAATATAACTAAAAAAATATTATTAACTGTTTTAAGAGAGAAGCACTACCTATTAATCTTAGGTATTATTGTTGAAGATGACTTGCAGAATCTCACTTCAATATTCATTTCTGAAAGTAATTAGTAGAAATTCACATTCGAAGGATGTACTTTAAAATAGAGACCTGATAAACAATATATTTAACACTTTATTAACAACTCTTCCATGTTGAAAGTTTTCTGGACCATTACAGGTGGATTAATTTCTATCAAGTTTTCTCATGTTACTTACATTTATATTTCTTTTTGGTGAAAGTTTACATGTAAGGATGTGAGTCGCTGATGGCATTCTCACAGTATACATTCGAGATGTTTTCCCCAGTGAGCTATTAATGCCTTTGAAAGGAACTGGGATGACTAAAGTCTCTCCATATTCTTTACATGTATATGATGTCTCTCCATTGTGCACTCTCGTGTCTTCCAATGGTTGTGATGAAGGCTTTACAATGTTTGCATTCATAGATTTTTCTCTCCAGTGTGAGTTCTTTATATATTTAAAAATCTAGATAAGAAATAAAAGCTCTATGACATTGCTTACATTCATAGAGTTTCTTTCCAGTGTCATTTCTTTTGCATCTTCAAAAACTTTGATAACATCTGCTTTCCCAAATCTTACATTCATTGGGCTTCTCTCATATATGTTTTTTGTGTGTGTGTATGTGTTTATAAGAAACTATAATCTGTAGGCTTTACTGCATTGTTTATATTCATAGGGTTTCTCTCCAGTATGCAGTCTCATGTGTATTTTTAACCTGTTTACAAGGAAAGGCTCTCTCACATTCCCGGCATTCACAAGGTTTCTCTTCAATATAAACTCTTTTGTGTGTTACAAAGGACTTTATGTGTGTAATGTTTGTAGGCTTTACTACATTATTTACATTCATGGGTTTCTCTTCAGTATGAATTACTTTGTGTCTTTTTAAGTAAGTACAATTTCTGTAGTCCTTACCACATTGTTTGCATTCATAAAGTTTCTCTTCAGTATGACTTCTTTTATGTTTCTGGAAGGAACTATAACATCTATAAGCTTTACCGCATTATTTACAGTCATAGGGTTTCTCTCCACTGTGTACTCTCACGTGTACTTTTAAGGCTTGGTGATAGGAGAAGGCTCGCCCACATTCCTTGCATTCATAGGGTCTCTCTCCAGTATGAATTCTTTCATGTGATTGTAAGCAAGAGTAATAATTGAAGGCTTTACCACATTCTTTACATTCATAGGGTTTCTCCACAGTGTGACTCCTTTCATGTATCTGAAATGAATTGGGAGAAATGAATGGTTTCTCACATTCCTTACATTTATAAGGTCCATCTCCTGTGTGAATAATCATATGTACTCGAAGGCTGGAGAGCTCACCAAAGGCCTTCTGACATTCCTTACATTCATAAAGTTTCTCCCCAGTGTGAGTTCTTTCATGTTTTCGATGAGAACTGGGACAACTGAGAGCTTTTCCACACTGTTTACATTCATGCCGTTTCTCTCCTGTATGTGTTCTCTCATGTGTTTGAAAAGTATAATTATATCTAAAGGCTTTACCACACTGTTTACATGCATAGGGTTTCTCTCCGGTGTGCAGTCTCATGTGTACCTTTAAGGTTTGGTTATGGAAGAAGGATTTTCCACATTCCTTGCACTCATAGTGTTTATCTCCAGTATGAATTACTTTGTGTCTTTTTAAGGAACTATAATTTCTGTAGGCCTTACCACATTGCTTACATTCACAGAGCTTCTCTACAGTGTGACTTCTTTTATGTTGTTGGAAGGAACCATAACACCTGTAGGCTTTACCACATTGTTTACATTCATAGGGTTTCTCTCTGGTGTGTAGTCTCATGTGTACTTTTAAGCTTTGGCGATGAGAGAAGGCTTTCCCACATTCCTTGCATTTGTAGGGTTTCTCTCCAGTGTGACTCCTTTCATGTATCCAAAATGAACTGGGAGACAAAAATGCTTTGTCACATTCCTTACATTTATAAGGTCCTTCTCCAGTGTGAGTGAGCATGTGTACTTGAAGGCCTGTCAGATCACCAAAGACCTTCCTACATCCCTTGCATTCATAAAGTTTCTCCTCAGTCTGAGTTCTTTCATGTTTTCGATGAGAATCGGGACAACTGAGGACTTTATTACATTGCTTACATTCATACTGTTTCTCTCTTGTGAGAGTCGTTTTGTGTGTTTCTAAGAAACTGTTATCTGCATAGCCTTTCCCACATTCTTTATAGTTTTTCTCTCCATGATGATTTCCTTCATTTTGACCAAAAAATTGGAGACAACTGAAGACTTTATCACGTTTCTTAAATTTACATGGTTTATCTCTGTGTTTGTGATGTTTGTGTCCAGTGTGACATTTCATGTGCTTATGAAGCGATGAATGATGCAGAAAAACATTTCCACATGAACCGCATTCGTGTGGTTTTACTCCAGTAATTTTCTTATTCAGATTCATATTTGGAATAAAGATGAAGTTTTCTCCACATTGATTACCCTCTTTAATTTCGAAGAGTCTCCCTACCATATATCTTCTGTAAAAAATAAGAAGTACAGCATTAATGATTTCTTTATTATCAATTTTACATTAGTTAGTAGGTTATTTAAACTACCTTTTAAAAATTTATATCAAAAGTGTACATTTTTTGCCTTGTCTGAATTGTTTAAAGTTGAATATAAGGAATGCTCTATAAGAAGACTTCACCCTTGCTATTATCAAAACAATAATATTCATATGTAAAATTTATTGATACCATTTTGAAGTGAACTATTTTGAAGATACTATTTTGACACTGACTAGCTAATGTCACACATTAAAAAAGTAAACTTTGGTAAAAATTTTCTAAAAATAACTAAATTTAAAGCAAAGGTTCTTGGTTTTATTCCCTTCTTTTTAGACTTTATAACACAACGGGATTATCACATGAGCCACTACTTTGTATTGTGAGTGTGACTCACCGTAGTATTCTCCTGTGGTTTTTGTACTGATCTTCAATGTCATGATCTTTCCATTTTTTTCCTAAAATGCAGACTGGGAAAAAAAATCCAAAATATTAGAAATTAGAGAAAAACTATTAGATTCTAGGTTGATTTTTAGCTGTTGCCATATCTAGTTAATTTATCAACATCTTAACTTTCCACATCTCAAAACTTGGAAAAATGTCGATGAGTGTAAAACACTTGTTCTCTAATAGACATTCTCTGTCATCCTTACCAACTGAGGCCAAGTTCCTGGAGGTTTCCCGCATCACATCTCTATACAGTTTCTTTTGTGAAGAATCCAGTAAGGCCCACTCCTCCAAGGTGAAGTTCACAGCCACATCCTCAATGGCCACTGATTCCTAAAACATCCAATATATGTGTACAGTAGGATGTGTGAAAATGACAATATTTTTATAAAAGTCACATATGATTCTGTCAATCCCAAACACTTATTCTATAACTGGTCATCTGAAACTTACTCCCTGTCTACATTTACTGCCTCATAAATTAATAGCATCATGAACATATGGAAATTATTTACACACTTTTATACTGTGGTCATATTACATCTTATTTCTCTCTAATGGCAGGGTCCATAGCATGTTGGAAAATAAAATGACAGAAATGCTATATGTAATTAAATAAATATTATTTTAAGACCATCAGTACCTTGTGAGAAAAACTCTTTCTTCTCCTTATTACCTACCATTTTCAGCACTTCATGAGGCAGAGGATCAAATCTATATAAAATTTAATCAATAAAAACAAAGTGAAGAACTAAAAGCTTTTTCTTCCATTCCCATAACCACAAATGAAAGTCCAGGAAAGCAGTGGAAATCCAACTTCTAATAAATTCCAGCTGACTATATTGTCTATAAAGTACCCCAGGTCTTTAGAAATAGATGCAGTTGGTGGAATAAAATACTCTTGCAGGGAAGTATTGTTTTTTAACTTCTGCGATATTCATTATGGGCTATTTTTCCTTTTTCTCTTTGATATGATGGGCTAGGAAGTTAATTAAAACAGACTTCAGACACAAAGAAAAAGGCATGAAAAATTATACCACAAAATCCCTATATTCCTGTGCCTCAGGGCTGCTTAGAGCCAAATTTCTGGCACATATACGCACACACAGTAACAAATATGCCAGAAAAGCTCTTTATTGCACGAAAACACTGTGCCACGTGACCTTGAGGAACAAGTTGAGAGTTGCCGATTGCAGCTGCATTCACTGAAAATCACAATGGTTTGATGGTAAATATGCCCATGAATATAACAAACATGAAGGCCTCAGCAATGCTTTCCTTCAAAAGAACATAAAATCTTTATTCTCATATTTACAAGAGGAAGTATTTCCCAACTGGCATAGAGGCTGCCCTCCCAAGTTCTTTAATTCCCAAGTTCCCTGGTGGAGTAAAGGAGCATGATATCTTGACCCCTCAGCACACAAATTCCTTAGCTGATGACACCACACACAGCCAAAAGTGTATGAAAGGGTTTATTATGTACATAACTGAGCTGTCTGTGGAAAAAGCAGGCAGGCCTCTCCAGTAATCCTGAAATGGCTTGAGAGAGCAAGGAAAGATGCCTGGATTTTTTGTAAAATTGAGGTTAGGGGGTGGGTTAGGGTGAGGGTTCACACACAGTAGTAAGAGCTCACCAGGACTGAATCTCTTGCCACCTACAAAGGAAGGAGCATCAAGGCGCTCTTATCATTTTATGTAGATCTAGGTCAAAGGGGAATGAGAAGGGATGAAACTATAAAGCTGTCATCTGCGAATCATCAATAACTGGGCCAGAGAACTCTGGCTTCCAGTTCAGTATCTGAGAAACTTAAAAGCTGTCATTCCCAAGCCTATAGAAAAAAGCAAACACCACCACCACCACCACCACCACCGTCATCATCACCATCATTGTCGTCGTCATCACCACCACTACCACCACCACTACCACCACCACCAACAAACCCCTGAAATAAACAACTCTTCTTAGATCCATCAGAACACTGAGGTCACAGGCAAACCACTCTCTCCAGAACTGGGAAAGAAAAATGAAAATTGGCATTTTAAAATATGCCCCAAATGTTGTCCTCAACAAGGCCTATACTGAAAACAGTCTATTTCACCTGAGGCTAGTGCAAGGATAAAAAAGGAACTAACAAGACAGAATACAATATCCATGAACTGTAGAACAATGACAGAAGGTTGAAATACACATGATGGGAAGACCCAAAGGAATAGACAGGCAGAAAAGAAACAAAAAATAACTGAAGTAATAATCATTAAGATTTTCCAAAAATTAATCATAGATAGCAAACTGTAGATTGAATAAGCACAGAAAACACTAAATATGAGGGGGAAAAGCATACTATGTTTATTATATTCAAACTAGAAAAAATTTAGAGACAAAGAGACTTTTTAGAAGACAGAGGAGAAAGTATACCTTGGTTATAGAAAAAAGGTTAGAATTAAGTAAGATTTCTTTTTAGAAATCATGCAAGCTAAAAGAGAGTGGAGTAAAATATTTAAAGTTTTAAAATGAAAAAAAAATACTCTCCTAGTTTAAAAAACAAAGCTGGTCCTTTGAAAAAATTAACTCAGTAAAATTGATAAAAATCTAATCAAGATACCTAAAAAGACAGAAATTACTAATATCAGAATTAATAGACTACTAAAGGAACATTAAAAAGGACTTGATACAATCCAACATCCATTATATTAAAAAATTGGTAATAGAGGGGCTTGATCTCCTCTTGAGAAAGAACAGCAACAGGACACCTGTAGTTGACATCATACTCAATGGTGAGAAACTAAAAAGTTTTCTGGTAAGATCAGGAACACAGCAAGGAGAGTTCCTCTCACCATTCCCATTCAACACTGTAGTGGAAACCTTAGCATATATTAAGGATAGCGAATAAATGGTACATGGATTGGGAAGCAAGAAATAAAACTTGTCTTTGTCCCCTATGACATGACTGTGTAAAACATCTGAAAGAACCCATAACAGAGATGATGCCTGGAGTTAAGAAGAGTAGAGCCAGGCTGAAAGACACACAAGTCAACTGCTTTCCATCTACCCTCACAAAAAAAAAAGTCAACCAATAGTTGACGAAGGAGTAAATGCAATTCAATTGAAAAATAAAGTCTTTTAAATAAATAGTGCTAGATATACTGGATACACACATACACACACACACACACACACACACACACACACACATGAAGATAAGCACAGACCTTAATCTTTTTACAAAAATTAACTCAAAATAGATCACAGGGAAAAACTAGAAGATAACATATAAGAAAATATAGGTGATCTTGTTTTTAATGATGAATTTTTAGATAAGACTCTCAAAAAATCCATAAAAGGAAAAATAATAAGTATCAGTTAATTAAAATGAAAAACTCATGCTCTGTAAAAGTATTAAGAGAATGAAAATAAAAAGATACAGCCTAGGAGAAAATATTTTGTAAAAATACTTATCTGATAAATGACTGCTAACCAAAACATCCAAACAACTCTTAAACCTCAGCAATAAACTAAATAAAAATGAGCAAAAACCTGAACAGACAACTCATCAAAGAAAAATATAGTTGAGAAATAATACAAAAACATGCTCAACACAGGTCCTTAGTTATTACAAATAAAACAAAAATATCACTACAAATGCTGAAAATTTAAAACACTCAGGACACCAGGCACTGGTGCAGATGTGAAGCTGCAAGTAACCCTCATTCACTGCTGGCGGGGATAGAATGTGGCACGTCTGTATTGGAGAGAGGGACTTTTTATCAAAACTAAATATACCCTCACTATATATAGTAAGATCCAGCAATCATGCTCCTTGGTATACCTAAATGTATCGAAACTTTATGTTTACACAAAAACCTGTACATGAATGTTTGTAGGCCCTTTATTCCTAATTGGCAAGATTTAGAGTTAAGCAAGAAGTCCTTCAAGAGGCAAAGAGATAAACAATCGGGGGTAAATCCATACGATGAAATACTATTCAGTAATAGCAAGAAATGAGGTATCAAGCCATGAAAACACATGAAGAACCTTAAAAGTACTGTGCTACTAGAAGCCAATCTCACAAGGCTACACACTGTATGATTCCAAGTATAGGACATTCTAGAAAAGATAGAACCATGAGCCAATAAAAAGTCCTCTGGTTGTGAAGGATTTGAGGTTGGAGAGAGGCACAAAACAACAGGAGGGGCATAAGGAATTTTTAGGGACATGAAACTATATGACATAGAAATAGAAGATACACGTCATTAAATATCTGTCCAAACCCACAGATCTTATCATCAACACTAATGAAAATTACACTTTACTGCATCAATATTGGCTGAGTGATTTTAACAAAGGTACCACAGTCATACAAGATGTAAAAAATAGTGCAAACTGTGTGGATGCACTGGAGTTACATGAGAACTCTGTGTTCTCAGATCACCTCTTCTGTAAACCTAAAAGTGTTCTAAAAAATGTATTAAAAAAAAAAGATGCAGACAAACTCATTACATTTCAGCCCTGATAACTGACTGATAAATGAAATAGGCCCAGGTATCATTCAACTGATGGGACCTTATGTCAATAAGCCAGTGCGGTGCCCTATGAGCCTGTGACCAGTACAAGAGGAGAAGCTTCCACAGAATGTCTCGTGGGAGAGCGGGGTGTTCTGTGTTCTGAGAAGCACCGTGGTTACCACCAGCAGAGTCTGGAAGCCCAAGGCGGGTCAGTGGTTTCCTGGTGAGTCTGGTTTGGGGGAGCTTGTTGTCCTGGGCTACAGACAAGTGTTACCTAGATCTATCCCTAAAAGAAACCTATTTAGGAAGCACTTCGGGTGTCTTAGTCAAGACAACCCCAGAGTTCTTTTACCACAAAGAGGAAGCTCAGACAACAGTCCAAGAGCCTGTGAACATAGGCAGGTGCGGACAACTGTGGGCCAGCGGTAAGATGACTGCTGGATGTCTGGGGAGCTGTGTGACCCTGTGTGATAAAGGCTTGGTCCTTTATCAGGAATGTCCCAACAGAGGGATGAAGAGCCGCAGCTCTCCACTGCGCTCCCCCACATACGAGTGTGTGTGTTCCTCCTGAGAGTTTGCCCTCCCCAGGGCTGGGCGCTCACTGAATTCCTAGGCACTCCTGAGCCAACTCTCTATCTTGGGGAATGGTGACCTGTTCCAACACAGCATCTTTCAATGGACTGAATAGAGAAGGGGCCACCTTCCTACAGGTGGCATAAGCCATAAGGCCAAGATTT